GAAAATGACACATTAAGTTCTACAATTGATACGATAAATTTACATTGTCTTGGACGAATTTGACACATGAAGTAACCAAATTAGGAATGCTAGAAATCATTTATTAAGCCGACCTTTTTTCTGGTTTAGTTGGAAATTATTGCTGATTCACTGTGTATTGTGCGGGTTTCAGACTTCAAAGTTTAATTATAATCAACTATACCAGAAGTCCAAATTTCAAAGTTGACTTAATATCCAATTATTAGCTGTGTTGATAAGCATGATCCGGTAAATTATTTCGAGGATATGGGTCTTGCCTTGGGTCCCTAGGTGGACAACCTTAATTATCAGCTTTGACCTCTTACCTTAGCTTTATCCAACGTCAACCATTTCGACTTGTTTGGTCACGTCGGCAGTTTGGTCTTATTGACCGTGTGAAGTCGGGCGTAAATTGAAATCTTTTAAAGCAATAAAAATAGGTGAGTGACATCGGTTCATGAGGCGTGAAGAGTTGCAGAATTTGCAGTCCTTATTGGCTACGGGGGCCCAATTGTAAATTTACACCTAATTTGTAAAAGCTCATGGATATCACATGTTCGAAATAAATCTTTTTGGAGAGGACCATGTAGAGAAGTAAAATAGCATTTGAAAAGAGATATTTAAATCGTATGAATTATTCTTCAAACGATGAGGTATTTAAAAATTTCTCTCCAAGTTTTGGAATAATTTAATCATTTTGAGAGACTGGTGTGATGGCTCTTTATTGGCTATTTTCTAATTGATTCAGTTAAGAATCACACTTTATTAACTTGCTTACGTGTTCTTCATTAACAATATGTAGCTGAATACATAAAATGGTTCATAATATTTAGGCAAGCTTTCTGTTTCTTTGTTCCCAACGCCCGTCGCTTTATGTTTCGCATCACTGCTGTGCGGGTTCGCGGACTGCACTTGAGGGTTAACAACCTATAAAATCATTATATACACTAAGTTAAGTGAAAATTCGCTCAAATGATTACTATTATACCAAGTTTAAAAGTCTAGATAAACATGTACAACCCTCTTAACCTAGACATACATATCAAGTTTATCAAAATTAAAATTTTGTATATGAACAACAAGAATCTAAATTTTATTTGTTACAAGACTTTTGACTGCCTATGATTATGAAATAATTTCAAAATCTTAGCCTATGCACAATTTTTATGAGTGACAAGATACCAAAATTCAGATTTCAAAATATTTATTTATTTGATACAATATCTCACCTTTGTAAAAATTTAAATCATTAAAGAGAAGGTAAACTTAATTATTTAAATTAGCACCTGTTTGACAACCTTTGAAAATTTAAATTATTTATTGCAGTATTATTTTCCACGACGCAATCACAAAATAAAATATTCTACACACAAATCAATAAACTTTCATTACTTTTTAACCATACATTTTTCAAAAATATTATTCAAAACTCTTTAAATTTTTAAATAATGAATGTCAAACAGGTCCTTAATTGTTTGACAAGAGACAACACTTTAGAACCTACGAGAACCACCGTTTGGTACGCGTAAAGCCTGCTACAATATTTTATTTGTTGGAAGCATTTTAAGTGCATTGCTGCGTATTTCCAACGAGAAACATGAATCTTTGACTCCAAAATGGCTTTGGGCTTGGCAATAAAGTGACCACAAACATAGAGAAAAACAAAACTTTATTTTTTGGGAGACATCATCGTCCTCAAACACCATTAAAATTGATAAAATATTTTACATTCCATATTGCCACTGACTACTTATCAAACAAAAGTAACCCATTTGACGTGGTTTGCAAGCTATTACGTCAGTTTGAAAGTTTACCTAGTGCACACCTGAAGAGTAGGACTGCGGGTTCCCCCGTCATTAAAAAAAATGGTATTCCATATTTAGGGCGTGTTTGAGCCCCTTTAATTTTGAAAAATCTATTATGGGATAGTAGATTAATGTAGAATATATGGTTAAAAAAGAAAGAAATTTTTTTGTTTTGCGTGTAATATTATAATAATGAAAAATATATGGTTGAAAATGAATACGGTAGGAAATATAATGTGATAGAATATGAAATAATGAGTGACAAACAAGGGTTTATATAGATTTGTTAAACAAGTTGAGCACGTTTTTTGCGGAAAAATTTATGAAAACGAAGGGAAATGGAATCAGTATACCCATAAAAAGACAATAATAAAGTTCACTTTCAAGAACGTGTAGTCATTTTAGGGTCGCTTTTCTCTATGCCTATTTTTCTTTCTTCTTTCCATTCCATGGATTTTTATTTTTTATTTTTTTAATATGCCTTTGAGCCTTCATCAATTGTGACATGGAAGAGTCGTGTTCGAGTGCATGATGTTTACTTCAATAATTAGTTAGACGGCTGTTTCATATACAGAAAGATTTTTTACAGACTACTTCTAGAATACACACAGTATGAGGTTGGTGGATTATTTTATTCACATGGGACTAGAGTCGTGTTCGAGTGCATGATGTGTACTTCAATAATTAGTTAGATGGTTGCTTCATATACAGAAAGATTTTTTACAGACTATTTCTAGAATACACACAGTATGGGATAGGTGGATTATTTTTTGAATTATTTTATTCACATGGGGCGTGAGCCCCATGTGAGAATCTGGAATTTTTCTGTCATAAAAAATTCTGTACACACAGAATTTTTCAATTAAATATTATAAGAGATATATTATTAATTGTTACATGGGGCCAACAGCAAGCAAGAATTTGAAAATAAATAAATAAATAATCGTTTTCTAATACTTCATTTTTATTTTTTTAATTATATTTTACTTGGTTGTTCGTACTTCTAGTTTAACAATCAATGTGACGTCAATACGATATAGAATGAGTAATGCTAACTATCAGTATTAGTAACATTGCACATTAGTTAAGTTAACATTAATCGAAATTACAGTATTACAATCGTTAAATTGCATTAATATTCTAAAATGCAGTAAATTTGTACTTCAAAATTTGACTTATTTAACTGTTCAAAAAAATTAATTATTTAGGGTGTGTTTGATTACATTTATTTTCCATGGAAAATATCAGTTTTCCACCCAAATTTCTATTTGAAGTGTTTGATTGCTATTTTTTTCCATGGAAAACATTTTTCAACTTTTGAAAATATATCTAATTTTCCTTGTTTTTAAGGAAAATATTTTCCTTGGGTAGATGTGGTTTTTATTTTCCACAAAAGATGGAAAACATTTTCTTTTCTAGGTGATATTTTCCATGTCAATCAAACACACTCTTAATGATACTGCAAGAGTAACTTGTAGCACTTGACTACTCGAGCCTTTAATGGATGGTTTTGCTTCAAGAGACGATTAAAAAATTTACATTTTTGTGAAAAATATGATCTTGTCCTTATCTAGTTTTCTTGAATAACAATAACATAAAAAAAATAATAACAAAAAAATAATAATAATAAACTTATTTCCATCTTTCCTATCGTCTATCACACAATCCTACCCCCCCAAACTCCAATCCAAGGCTAGGCGAAATTGAGAGAACAGGAAGATTAGGGGAAGGAGATGAAGTTAAGGGAGCAAGGGAAGGAGGTAGAGGCATTGAACAACCAGCAAGGGTGGAAAAGTTTGGGGTTGGCCATGAATGGATTTAGAGGCGAGCTTGGAACGAGTGTTGAAGTGAACAAATTGGTCACAAGGACCTAGGAGTTGGTGTTACAAGGGACAAGTTGGGGCTAGGGGTTCGCAAGGGCAATTTGTAGATCAATATATTACAAACTTAAAATATTGAAAAGACAATGACAGGGAGGGAGGGTATTCTATCAATATTGACAATTCTCTTTCTATATACTTGTTTTCTTCTTTTATCTGATTATTTCTTGCATTGTTAGTCAATTTACAATTTTAACTGTTTCAAAACAAAAATTCCAAGTTTAATTAGGTAAGGATCTCGCCGCAATTTTCGCTTAATACATTCAAATCATATTTGATTGGTTTGTACCAATTCCAAGCACTCTTTATGATCTTATCACTGAAAATCTCAATTTCATTTTTCTAGGGGCGAAGCCAACTACTCACGAGTTACAAGTTTGGGGGGCTCACAGAAAATACTTTCCAGTGGCCTTCGTACATGTTCGGTTAAAAAAAAAAAAAATAAATAATAATAATAATAATAATTTATATATATACTTTTTAAATTTACATCGGTTGTAAATTTTGATGAGAAAATTTTATTAGATGTCAAAATTTGGCTTTGCATTATCAAAAAAATATCACCTTTAAAATTTTCCATCAAAAATGTCAATTTAGGACATTTTTGACCTTCTGAATTATTTGAATACCTGCAAATTATGAATTTGCACAACAGGGCCCCATCTCCAACACCCAAATCTGTTGTTGAAAACCTAGACAATTTTTTTTCCCTTTTACAGTGTGGCAGAGGCCGCCGATCTCGTCTAGCAGCTACTGCTGCGGTACAGTAGTGGCAAGGGTCTCACCACTGCTCTGGACGGCAGCTGCGATCGCCACTGCCTCTGTGGCAGACGTGGCGCTCGCCGCCGCCGCCGTCGTTACCCACTTTCTTTCTTTTCTTTTTTTTTTGGCCCAAAATTTATAATCTTGTAAAATCAAAAACAAATTTTTAAAATTTAAAATAAGGGCATGTTGGACATTTCGCACAAAAAAAATTGATATTTTTGATAAAATTAGGTGCACATGCAAATTTTTTGTGCATTATTAAAAAAAAAGTGAAATTTCTAATAATTCTCCAATTTTGATTAATATGCTCATAATGTATAAATAAAAAGTGAATAAGAAAGGGCGGTGGTGGAGTTTTTGCAGACACGTATGCTCATACAAAGAGCGTTCTCCTCTTTCTTCATACTTTTCAATGAAAGAAAATTCTGGGTGTCATAAAAAAGCCATATCATGTGGAGAAAACTCTTTTAAGTGGGGTCTACTTTTAGCTTTCCATTGACCCTCCTTAATTGCCAACCCACTATATATAATCTCTCATTGGTTTAATCCCTCAAACAAATTAGAATTCCCCATTCTTATCTTACATCTTTCTCTTGCCTCATCATGAGTAAACTTGGGGTAAGCACATGTTCACATGAAGATGGGTATGAGCTAAGAAAAGGTCCATGGTCTCTTGAAGAAGATAATCTACTCATTGAATACATAAATTTACATGGAGAAGGCCACTGGAATACCTTAGCTGAGCGTGCAGGTATCATTTCAAAATTCAAACAAGTAAAAAGGGTTTTCTAATCTCCTTATTTTCAGTATTTTGACCTATGTTTGTTGCTTTAATGGGGAATCCAGGGCTTAAGAGAACAGGGAAAAGCTGCAGGTTGAGATGGTTGAATTATTTGAAGCCTGATATTAAGCGTGGCAACCTTACCCCACAAGAACAGCTCTTGATCCTTGAACTCCATTGCCAGTGGGGAAACAGGTGAATACTTAGAGGTCCTTTGTGAGTCGGATTGTGCTGAGTCTAACTATACCGTACGCTTATCTCCACGACCGTATTTGTATTTGCAGGTGGTCAAAGATTGCACAGCATTTACCTGGAAGAACCGATAATGAAATCAAGAATTATTGGAGAACTAGAGTGCAAAAACAAGCCCGGCAGCTTACGGTGGATGTGAATAGCAAGAAATTTCTTGAAGCAATTCGCCAAGTTTGGGCACCAAGATTGCTAGAAAAAATGGAACAAAATTCATCAGAAACATCGTCTCCCTCTTCCTCCATCTCAAACTTGGAAACTCAAAAGCCCACAATCACTACACCATGTCCCAAATCCAGGTCCCAGGTGAATTATTCTGATCAGCTCAAGGAAAATTTACAGCTGCCCGCAGAGAATTCAGAAAATTTGTACCAAGCTTGCGGCGACATTAATACTTTCTATGATAATTCATTTCAAAATGATGGTTACCATGTGGACATTAGCAGTTATAACACTACAGAAATGGAGTACCAGCAGGAGAATTCGCTGGCAGAGATAGACTGGTTTGATGAAGAAATATCAGGCAGTACATTTTGGAATGCTGATGAATTCTGGGATTTTAGAAAACCTTAAAAGTGGTCAGTAATTACTAAATTTTACAGCCCTTGTTTTTGTAATAGGGCCAATGTTCATGTGCTTTTAATATGGGCCACATGGTAGTCTACGATAACTTGCAGGCACGCGTTCGGTTAAGTTTCAAAGTTCTTTTAGTTAAATTTACATTTGTAATGCACATAGATATACAAATATTTCGCCGTAAAACTAAAAAATAAAAGAGAAACATTTAAAATCGATTATTAATTTATTTTATTATTCTATATACGTGATTTGTAGACTACTCAAGATCGAGTCTATCATTCAAATATTGTAAGATCAAAGATTATGTCACATCAAGAATACAAAGTTGAATTGATTAGTTTAGTCTAATCATATAACTTGTACTTGCTAAGCTTGTTGAAATAGTGATTGCCCTCCCTCGCATGACAAAGCTAATCATTTAGGAACTTAAGTTTTGTCATTTTAAGATCTAATATGAAGTTCGCAAAAATGACTTAGGTACGATGAGCACATTAAAAAATTACGTCTATCAATTCAACATAAAATCAACTTAACAAATATGTATATTCTATTTCATATACCATATAATCTTATCGATATCTGGTTAAATATTGCGATTATCAAATTAAGGCATAACAAATAAAGCATATTATAGCGTGTAGCGTGTCTAGTTAAGTTCAAAGAGGCAACATATTATTGTTTTGATACGAAGAACCGTGCACATAAAAAAATAAATAAATAAATAAAATAAAAATAAAAATAAAAATTGACTTACCTATTTCAGTAACATTTTCAACTTAAATATCAAGTTGTATAGTTAACGTTCTAGTGTGAAGTAGTCACGTCAACCAAATGTATCCTCTAATAAAATCGCTCCAAGTCATGTGACAAAACATGCTAAGTTTTCACCCGTTTTTATTTTGATTTTTTTTAAGTGATTTTGTGAAAAATGATTTTTTTTTTTTTTGGTAAAATCTCAGATAAAAAATAGAAAAAATAAATATTATGATTTCAATTATAAAACTTTTACTAGGAGAATATATATAATTGAAAATGTGTTTGACAAAAAAATTAAATTTAAAATCAAACAAAGGGCTTCGTGTGAGAAGGTCACTTAAAGTAAATTTACTTGCCCCTTTTCAAGTTTCCATCGAATCATTCTTTTCACCATGATGGCCTTTAAATTAAAGAAGAATCAATGATCTTTTGAATAGTATTTTTAGCGAATGTATGGTTAAAAAGTATGAGAAAATTTAGCTTCCGTTTGATCCTCATTTTTTCAAATGAAAATGGGTGGAATAGTATTTTTTTAAAAAAAAATGAGATATTGAAAAAGAAAGAAAAAATTTCGGTTTACATTTAATTTTATTTTATAGAAAACGATGTGATTGAAAAAAGGAGAAAGACAAATAAAACGTAATTTAATGGGAGCCAAACGGGGATTTAGATTTACATGCGAAATATTTTATTACGTAAATATGTGATTGAAAATGAGTATAAGAATTAATAATTTTTGTTTTAAAAAGAGACAAACAGAGGGTTAAATTCTTGTTTGGTAAAAAATTGTTTTTTCTTTAAATTTATTTTTAACTTCCCTCGATCACTTTTCTTCTTCAAAAAGAGTTGTTTTCTCTGTCAATAATAGATTTGAAGTTTCATCCAAGAATATGTCCCATCAAATGTCTGATTTTCCTTAGTGGTCGGCCCTCCAATTCCAATAAGGAAACTTCTCGTACACAATCTACCCCTTTGTTTGGTTAAGGATATTCCACGTTACGCTGCGAGATTTTAGTTTATGGTCTTCTCTAACTTGGATTTTGAGCTTTTTTTTTTATTGTTCGGTACAGATTAAAAGTTAATTAAAATTAATTTTTTGATCGTTTTTTCATTATTTCAACTGTTATTTTTGAATTCTTCTCTCACGAATAGGATCCACTTTATCTCTAACAGTCAAAAAATTAATTATTAAAATCTCTACCAAACAAGCTCGTAATTTTACAAAATTGATGTATAATAGGACTCAAATTACTTGTACTTCTTTGTTTTTTTCTCTATTTTATCGTCATTCAATTTTGCATTTATTTAGGAAACTGAAGTATATATTTAATGGAACTTTTATATTAATTTAGCAAAATCTTAAGAACAATGCTAAAGTACAAAAAGATTTCACGAATTTTTTTGACAAATAACACATGGAGTAGTTTCATTGAAAAATGGAGAAAAAAATGGCCATACCTGTAAAATCCCAGTCAACCATTTCCTATACGTAGGGAATTATATCCAAATCTTAAATGTATCCAAATTATTAAGATCTAAGTATGAAGTGATAAATGATATGTGATAGAATTATATGCTATGCCTAATTTAATTAAAAATTTATTTATTAATAAATTTTGTAGAATATGAAATATATTCTCTGAACAAATTATGAGATATGATAGTCAAGTTAAATTAATATATGTGTCAAATAGTCAATCTTTTCAATAACAGCTCTTCTTGAAAGAAAAAATATTATTAGAAAAAAACTCTAAGACCCCGTTAGATTCTCATTTTTATCAAAATACATTTTTTTTCTCTTTTCTTTTTAACCACACGTTTTTCATTAAAATAATATCACACGTAAATCAAAAACTTTTTCTTATTTTTCATCCACACATTCTCCACCAATCCACCATTTTAAAATTCATTTTTCTATAAAAATGGGTGTCAAATACCCTCAAAATACTGCTTGCAATATCTTTATCAAACGATCATTTTTGAACTCTAGTCCCTATTGGACTGTTCAGTCAAATTATTAGTCTCCACCTTAAACTCGAGATATGAAACTACACTCTTGAGTTCTATAAAATCGTAAAATCATATATTGCCACTTCCTGACTCACCGAGCTAATATTGTTTATCTAATAATTAAAGTTAGGTTAAAATGATCATTTTTGTGATTGAAATTTTTGTATTCCTTATTCTTGTATGTGTTAATGCTATTGTGAATCAATCAAATACGAGATTTAGCAAACATTAAACAGTAAGTTAAGATTTAAAATGTTCAACAAAGTACAATGCATGCATTTGCCCCATGGAAAAACTACACTCTTAAAATTTGTTACATGTAACATGACACTTCTCATCATTACCAAGCACTATATAGTATATAATATAACAATTAAGAAAAATGCACGAAAAATCTTAATCTTAATCAATTAATTGTTAGCTAAGTTCGAATGGTAAATGATGTGAATTAAAGGGAAGACCGAGTCTTATGGGGCATTACTTTGAGTTTTTATGTTTAGTTTTAGTTTAATAAAAATCTTAATATAGGTACTAATTTTGGTTAATTATTTTAATTTATGTTCCATTTAATTCGTTCAAAATGTTGATATTTTTCAGGATTCTTGCAAATTACAATATTGTACCGGAATTTTATATTTTTACTATGTAAGTATTATTTTTTTCCGCAAAAATGAGTCGTATCACCCTAAATGGCCCAGGCACTTCGAAGTCCAATATCGTTTATCTAATGATTAACGTTAGGTTTGACTCGATTGAAGAGGTAGAGTGAGTTGGTTTTTGCTGAAATTCACAAAAATTGACTAATTTAGTTTTGTTTCGAATTGGAGTCGAAACCAATCGAAACCATACTATACTCAAGCCTAATTTTGGCAATGTGACATAATTAATATGCCATGTGTAAGATTCATTGGCCACACGACAAAATACGGGCTCGTTTGGCATAATTTTTTTAATTTTTTTTAGAAGAATTTTTAGTGGAAGTTACATTAATTTTTTTTTGAAAACTAATATTTAAAAGTACTTCTCATTTCAAAAGTGTATTTAGAGAAAATTACATTATACCAATTTTCTCTAAAAACTCTTTAAAAGTACACTTTCTCGGTCGAGTCTGTCGCACAGGGATTACCTAGTGTGATTTATCTGACTGACATGATTTGCAAGTTATTATGTCAGTCCGAGGGTTTACTCAGTGCTTACCCGAACGGTGACGGCTATGGATTCCTCGTCATCTAAAAAAAAATGGTCAAACAACTCCAAAATCAACTTTTGGGTTTTAAAAATTCATTTTAACTTTTCAAAAATCATATCAAACAACCCCCACATATTGATAAGTTAAGTGCAATTTAGGAGCATTTTCAATATTTCAGTGACATTTGAGATATTTTGCCCCTCAAGAAATGAGAGTTGAACACAATTGCTAATAATGTGAAGCTTCTGACAAAATGGCTTCTCATGCCACTTCTTATAATCGCACAATAAATAATTAATTCACATAAAGACGACCGATCAGAGTAAGATCCACATGGACAGCCAGCTCGGCTTGTTGAAATTGTTCGTATACCACAAAATATTCCAAATTTAAATTAAAGATAAGTTATTGAACTCGATCACAATGCCTATGATAAATGGAAAATGCTTGTTGTCCAGTGGCTCTGGACGTATAGTATATATCTCATGAATAACATATGATCTATCTCAATGGACTGACTTCATATGACAAACAACGGGCCTACGATTCAATTAACAAAACGAGAAAATCAGAGTTTGATGTAACAAATACCTCTCAAAAGTTCGTCAAGAACTCTCAAAGGTCTCTGTCTCTTTCTTTGATTTTAATGAGGGAAACGGAAATTTAGATATTATTTTGGTATCATTATTTTGGGAGAATCACTGGGAAGGTGACTTTGGATTATATTCGGGGTGGGGCAGGGTTGGGTAAGATTGGGTTGAGTTGGTGTCGATGATGGAGTTAGACATTTTTCATTGTGGGGTCAAAATTAAGTTATGAATATTTTTATGGATCAAACTCTAGTTTGTTTGGTTTTGAGGCATTGTCATCTTCTCTGTTGGGTCCCCAAAGTAGACAAAGGAGGTTTCAGATTTCATTTCATTTTGTTTAACGTTGGATTTTGTTTCGAGTTTATTAAGTGCTTAGCTACAGTTATGAAAATTGAACTAAATATCGACCTTGACATAGAAATGAGTTATTAAATAATTAATTTAACCTCAGATTAATGATAAAATTGTCGTGTTTATTTATTATTTTGCACATTAACAATTACACGTGAAATAGAAAATATCATGAAATTTAACAAAAAAATCTCTAAAATATTTTGCAAAGAGAACTTTTTAGGAGTAATTTTGACTCATGAAATGTACGTTTAGTAGTGGATAATAGTTACGAATGAATGATAAAAATTAAGGGAAATTTGCAATAACGGTCCCTAATTTT